TCAAAGAGCAGTCCCCACCTGAGGTCCTGGAGGTCAGTTTCTTAGGCCTCTCTTTCCCCTCCCCCATACCTCCTCCTTAGTCTTCAGGTACCTTCTCTGGCCCAACCAGAAATTCTTTCCCTTAGGGAAGCTGCAGATAGAAAGATGAAAAAGTTGCACACTCCCTGCCCTGTAGTAGGTTATGTAAAGGAGAAAGGATATGAATCTCTTTCTCTCAACTCAGTTCATGTAGTAACAGTATTTAGTTACAAATAGTTAGATTTCAGTGCTTAATAAGGTATTAAACTAAGTGTAAAGTAACAACTACATATTTAAAAGGTATGAATAAGTCCCTTGAATGAATCAGAAGGGGCAATGTGATTGGCTGAGCAGAAAACAGATCATGCTACGGTGGACTATTAAAAGAGACTAGGTTGACAGCTGTTTAGGCAGCTCTAAGCTGGGAGGCAGAAGTGGCCACATCAGGGTAGGGAGTGTGTCACTTTTCATCTTTCCATCTGCAGCTGTGATGAAGTTGTCATTGATCCCTAAGGGAAGGAATTTCTGGTTGGGTCTGAGAGGGTGTGGCTGTAGGTACCTGAAGGCCTAGGAGGGGCCAAGGGGGAAGAGAAAAAGAGTCTTAAGAACCTGACCCCCAGGACCTTGGGTGGGGACTGCAGAAGGCAGTTTATTCTATCTTGATCTATTCCACTGAGACCACTATGTCAACACAGATTTACAGAGTAGAGAAGAGTCAGGTTTTATACCCTGGAACTGAGGGAGGAAAATGAGGCTTATCATGCTTTGGACTTCTTCTTCAGCCATAAAATCTTTAAGGAATAAGGGAAAGTTGGTCAACAGCTGGTGAGGTGAAGCCTGCAGGAATATAAAATAATAGCCATTGGGTTTCAGAGATAAAGTTTCCCTTCCAGTCTCCTGAAGCCAAGAATCTTAGAATTGGAAAATACCTCAAAGAGTATATATCCAAACCTGTACCTGAATGTTAATCCCTTCTCTAATATCATTTACAAATGATCATCTGGCTTCCTTCCACTTGAAAAGTTTTAGTGAAGGAGAATTCTGTTATTTCCTGAGGCAGGCCATTTCATTTTTGGATAGCACTAATTCTTAGGAAGTTTTTCCTTACATTGAGTTAAAATCTACCTCTCTGAAGAAAATAATAGTAACAGCTGGCATTTAAATAGCACCTGCTACACCAGATACTGTGCTAAGTGCTTTACAAGTATTGTCTTATTTGATCCTTACCCACACTCTGGAAGGTAGGTGCCATTATTCTCCCCATTTCATGGTTGAGTTAACTGAGGCAAACAGAGGTTAAATAACTTGGCATGCAGTTGGTAAGTATTTGAGGCCAGATTTGAACTTGGATCTTCCTCACTCTAGGCCCGGTGCTCTATCCATTGCACCTTCCAACTGCCTCTAACATCTGAAACATCCCCTTGTTGTTCCTGGCTCTGCCTTCCGATTCAAAGCAGAATAAATGCAATCCCTCCTCCAAGGGGCTTGAAGACATCCATTGTGCCTCATCCTACCTCCAGTTTGCTCTTCTCCAAACTAACCATCCCCAGTTTCTTCCTCTGATTCTCCTCAGGTAGGGCCTCCAGGCCTTTGACCATCCTGTTCACCTTACTCTGGACATACTCCAGCTTATCGATATCCTTATTAAAATGTTGAGTCCAAAACTGAACACAATATACCAGGTCATAGTACAGCAGGATCATCACCTCCCTTATTCTAGACCCTCTGCCCATCTTAATTTCTCAAAGATTGCATTAACTCTTCATCTGCCATGTCATACGTCGACTTACATCGAGTTTTCAGCCCACAAGAACCTCCAATTTTTTTATACAAATTCTTATCTTGCCATCTCTTTCTTATCTTATATTTGACAGAGAAAGAAACATATCTAGAGAAAGGAAATGACTCAGAATCATGGAATGTCACCACTGGAAGGGATCTTAAATTTTAGCTTGCTCAATTCATTTATTTCTCCCAATAAGGAAAGTGAAATCAAAGAGGTAATGGGGCTCTCACCTAAGGAAATAGTTGGTTTTTAGAGTAGCTTGAACAAGAAACAAGATCCTCCTTAAGTCCAGGACTCTTTCTCCTTTTGCAAGCTGCCTCGTAGTAGTCTCTATATGAGTTGAAGTAGAGCTTTGCTGACCTCCCTGAAAACATGTGATGTTCCCTTTGGCCCCATGTGTGGTCATTGCTTCATGGTCTAGTCCTCTTTCTTGCCTCACCAAAACCAGCTGTCAATCATCTCTTCAAGCTTTGATACTTCCTGGCTGTGCAACCTTGGATAGTCACCTCACTACTCTGAGCTTCAATCTTTCTCGGAATAGAATCACAGAACTTCAAAGCCAGAAAAGAATCTCAGACAGCATCTAGCCCAACATTCCAGGGCAGAAAATACAATCTGCATCTCCCCTGAATGGGGGGGGGGTCATCCAAAAATCTGCTTGGGCACCTCCAGTAAAACAGGAAGCTCATTTCCTTCTGAAGCAATTCATTACATTATGAGGTGGGTCTGATTGTTATAAAGATTGTTATAAATTCTGATTTGTCATTAACTTTGTCATTTGTTATAAAATTGATTGTTATAAATCTCGTAATTATTACCTAATCGAATGTTATAAAATGTTTTTTCTTATTGAACCTTAATCTGTGAGGCTAAGCAGGACTGGGCTGCTTCTTCTGTCCCCTTAATATAGCAGGAGTAAGAGAGCTAAGCCTCTTAAGGGGCCACTTAGTCTAACCCTCTTCACTTTGCAGGTGAGGAAAATGAATCTAGGAGAGGAGGAGGCTATTTGCCCAGGTTCGTAGACTCATGGAATCACTGAATCTCAGAACTGCTTGCATACTTCCAATAACAGAATTCTCTATCCCTTGAGGCAGGTCATACTGGGATCACTTGGTTATTCCCAAATTCTTCCTCATATTGAGCAATGAATCCATAGTAGAGGCAAAAGTAGAACCCTAAGCTCTTGTCCCTCAGTCCAGCTTGTCTGCACTCTCATCTGACATTTACCATGCATGGTTTATATTACTTTGAGTTCTAAATAATATGTACTGACTGATTGTCAGGAAAAGCCTTGTTGAGGGTGAGGGGAGGTGCAAATGGAAGAAAGTGAATGGGGCAAGGTCAGATCAGCCCCCAGGGAGAGAGGAAGATCCTGCCTGGGCAGGCTGGATCTTTGTTTTCTGGGGTTTGAAGGTTCCTTGTTCTTTCTCTCTTTGCCCAGTGTTGTAGAAGCCAGGGGCCTGGGTGAGGCCAGGGATGGGCTTTCTCAAAAATGTGTAAATAACTTATGAGCCTGAAGGCCTCAACAGCAGCTGGGAAGTGGTCTGCCCTTTCCCCTTTCCCCAACATGCTTGCCTTGCCTACCCTGTTCACTTTCATTATTCCCCCCCCCCCAAATCGTCCCTTCTTTCTAACTTCTCTGTTACTGTTGAGGATACCATCATCCTCCCAGTCACTCAGGTTCACAAGCTAGGTGTCATCCTTGAGTCCTCACCTTCTCTTACCTCCCATATTCGATCAGTTGCCAGCACCTATCATTTCTACTTTCATAACATCTCTCATACATGCCCCCATCTTTTTAACATTGCCACAACCCTGATGTAGGCCTTATCACCTCAAGTTTGGACTATTGAAATAGCCTGCTGGTCGTAAGTCCCCTCCAAAGTGATCTTCCTAAAATTCAAGTCTGACCATGTCACCCTCCTATTCAATAAACTCCTTTGGCTTCCTATCACCCGCAGGTTCAAATAGAACATCTTCTGTTTGGCTTCTAAAGCTCTTTGTAACCTAGCCCCCTCCTACCTTTCTAGTTCTTTTAGACCTTACTCTGCTCCAAGTACTCTCAGTGATACTGGTCTTCCTGCAGCTCCTCACATAAGACACTCCATCTTTTTGGACTATGCCGTACATTAAAAAGGAAGAAACTCAGACTCTTTCATACAGCTTCCTCTTGAGCTCCCCAGGGTCCCCTGGCTACCACATGAAGCTCCCTTCCTGTGTCATTCTCCATGTTGACCTGCCTTCCTTTCCCCTAATTCAAGTTAATGCCTTTTCCCTTTCCAAAGGCCAAATCTAGCTCCACCTCTTCAAATATTTACTGAGTAGTTCCCCCTTCTCTGATAATCCCTTTGCTTGGCAACACTAGGGAGGGGGTAGGGGGAGGGAGTTGAGAAGAGGTTTCAACCTCTGGGAGTTGATATCTGACTAGAGACAGGAAATATCCACATTTAGAACAATAACAGCACCAGGTTATATGTGTGCAGGACCCATAAGGAATTCAGACTCCAAGGCTCTTCAGAGTTGTGTTATGGGTTTACGGGTTGGGAAGACTTCCTGGAGAAGGTGGTACTTGTGATGAGTCTAAAGGACAAGTGGGATTTAAAGAGGAAAAGAAGAAAAAACCATAAAATCCAAAGTATTCCAGTTTGGGAATAATAATAAAGGTTGGGAAAAGGGAATTATCCTAGTGTTGGAGGAGGGAGCAGGGAAAGATATTAGAGGGTTGAGATCTCTATAAGACCAGGGGTTGAGATCATGGAGACCTCAAACACCAGACTGGTGTGTTGTCTTGTGGTGTCCTATTTCTCCCCTAGCAGTGTTGACTACTTCAATGATTTTCCGTTTGCCTAGAGCCCTAGTTCTTAAAGGAACAGTGCCCTTAGCCCAGCAGGACCTTGCACATTTGCATTGTGTTTTACATAAAATTTACATAATGCGGCTCCAGCTGAGGCCTTTTGATTCCAATAGATGTGGAATATATCCAAAAGGAGCTTCCACTGCCAAAATTGGGCTTTTAACCTGAGAATGATACTGGACACAAAGACAAGTTAAGTTTCTGGGGGGTCATTCAAACAGTGAAGCCAGGTGGGAGGGACAAAGCCACTGGGAATAGGGAAGAAATACAGATAGGCCTCTTTAGGCTGAGGCTGAGTGAACTAGAATGGAGAAGGAGGAAGAAAAATGTACACTCATTGAATTCAATTCCATAAGCATTTATTGTTCATTCAATGATGCTGTCACTGTTTCATTCATTAAGACACTCATTCAATTATTCAGTGACTCTCTTATTCCATCACTCATCAAATCAGTATTTCTTTATTCATTTCTTCACTTCATTTGTTCACCCATTATTTCACTCATTTGTTATTTTCACAGATCTGTAATCTCATCAATATGAGTATGTATCACAGCCTATTTGTGACTCTTTATCATATGTAATTCCATCCCCCACCTTGTCCTTCGATAAGTCTTCCAAAAAAGTATCCATTCAATGTACTGGAGTTCTTCCTTTGGGTCTTTTTAATAATTTTATAGTTGGCACTGGTGCGCTGGCTGATCCATCTCCTACTGTTCCTACACGGTCAATCCGATTTCTTTGCCAGACATGCAAGTCATTGATGATGTATTTTGTACTACCGCTTGTGCCCAAGTCGTTGTGGGTACTATGCTTCAACCTATTAGCCCTTTGTGTCACTTTTAATTTACACTCTTCTGAGACTGAGATATTCCTTATCTGTCTGGTGCCTGCCACAGTTCTCATCTATTTTGAAAGCAGAGCAGAACCCTGGAAATTCTGAGAGAAGGGAACAGATTAGTAAGACAATTGTAACAGACTTGGTTTCAGAAGCAAATGGTATTTGGGTTGTGAAGAGCTTCACAATATGTCTCCCGACTACTTTTCCAGGTTTATTGCACATTGGTTTCCTTACACATTTGACATTCCAGCCAAACTAAATTGTTTGCGGCTCCCCCCTACACAGCATTCCATTTCCCATCTCTATGATTTTGCATAGATAACTCACACCTGGAAGCACTCCCTCCCCACCTCTTTCTTCCCTTCATAGAATCCCTGCCTTCCATAAAAGCTCAGCTCAAAGGCTACCTCCTACTAGAAGTCTAGTGCTTCTTCCCCCAAATATCCTTGTTTTTGCCTAATATTTGTATAAATTTTGCAGTTACTTATACATGAGTGAAAAGGAATAGGCCTTTTCACAGACCTAATCACAGAAGAGTCAGGTAAAGAAGTATTTAACTGTAAAATGCATTAATGGCAAGCCATTGATTTAGAATGAGTTCTTAGAGTGAATTAAAAAAAAAGGCAAGGTAATTGGTTGAAAAACAATAGGCCATGCATCAAGGACTTTTAAAAGTCAGTTAAAAATTGAGTCTAGGAAACAGATTGGAAGAGTAATCCAGCTCCTGATCAGGTGAGTAGAAGAAGCTGGAGTGGGAGAAAGTGAAGTTTGTAAGAAGGGGGAGCTTTAGGAAGTACCACAGCTGGAGAAAGGGAAGCTCCAAGCATCCAAGTGGAACTGAGAGAGCAGAAGCATCAGGCAGAGGTGAATGCCACAAGAGAGGCCAAGATTCTGGGAGTGGGGCTGTTTGGGCAAATCTGTGTTTGGACAGAAGCTGTGTTGCTGACCTTCCTCTGCCTACATCTTGTCCCCACCACCACCCTCAACTGTAGAACCCAAGGTTATGATCCTATATCCCCTTTCCCCACTTAAGTAGCTTCATGGAAGCATGGAGCCTTTTTTTTCAGGGCATTGAAGAAGGGGATTTGTTTACCTTTCTTTGTTTAAATGTTTACTCTGTCTTTATTAACACTAGTAGTTTCCAGTATGGGTAATATTTATTGGGAATACCATTGGAAGGAAACAATTAAGTTGGGGGTTGGGGGAGGAATATCCCACAGAGAAAATATAGAGATAGTTCTAAGACTGAAGTATTTTATCGGAAGCACTATCTCTGACTGGGGGCTTGGAGCGAATGAAAAGATAAAGAGAATTGCACATATTTGATACTATTTCCTAAAGTGGAAAATATCCACTTATTCAGAAAAATCCATTTGGGCAACAACTTAAGTAGAAGAGTGAAGGAACCACCAATAGCACTAGGTATTTCCTCCCAAAAGAATATAAGCTTTATTTTGTTTTTTTTTTCTGTATAATCCCAGTGCCTAGAAGAGTTCCTGGCTGATATATAAAAGGTGCATGATAAATTCTTGTTGAATTGAGTTATTCTCTTCCCTCTTTCCTTGTCTTGAATCTACTTTCTATGGCAAATGTAGGGGGCAGAGAGTAGAGAGCTGTTGCAGGTGAACTGAAACTGTCTACCAGGTTACTGAGCTTGTCACTTGGTATCACCCACCCTCTTAGATTCCTGAGGGCAGCTAGGTGTCACAGCGTACTGGGCACAGAATCAGGAAGACTCATTTTCCTGAGTTCAAATTTGACCTCAATTACTTACTAGCTGTGTGACCCTGGGCAAGTCACTTAATCCTGTTTACCTTAGTTCCTCATTGGTAAAATGAACTGGGGAAAGGAAATGGCAAAGAACTCCAATATCTTTGCCAAGAAAACCCCAAATGAGGTCACAAAGAATCAGACATGACTGAAAATGACTTAATAACAACTTGGATTCCCATACAACAGCAACAACAAAGATACTATTTTTCAAGGCATAGGAAGCAGAGAGAAATGTGACAGGGAGACTCAATCTCCCTGTCACATGGGCCTTCTGTTGCCAACCACCATGACCAACATCTCTATTTGTTGTGACTAAGACTGGCAATGAGAGAGGTAAGAACATTTTAGTAGAATGAAATCTCCTTGAGGGCAGGAAGTATTTCAAATCTGGAAGCCAGAAGAAGCATCTCTTCTTGTAGCATCTTATACAGGCTCTTGCCAACTCTGCCCCTCAAAGGCACAGTGGGTTGAGTAATCATCATTCCCTCCACCAATGAAGAGAGTCTTACGCAAATATTTTTTTTTTTTAGGCAATTGGGGTTAAGTGACTTGCCCAGGGTCACACAGCTAGTAAGTGTCAAGTGTTTGGTCTGAGGTCACATTTGAACTCAGGTCCCCCGGACTTCAGGGACAGGGCTGTATTCACTTTGCCACCTACCTGCCCCACAAATATTCTTTCTTAAGCCCTAGATTACATTCCTCCCTCCGGCCAAAACCTTTTTCAATCCCTTGAAAAAAATCACTCAAGGCAAACTTGAAGTTTGTAACTATGCTGCATAAACACAAACATCAGAGCTTTAAAACAAGAAGGGTGATTTTCCTGATGTCTTATGTAACCAACAAATGATATCTTTGAAACCAAAATACACATGCCATTAATACATAGTAAGAGAACGTGCAGCAGAGACGGCACTATACAACGTATCTCCAGGCAGTGAGCTACAGTAACAGCGAGCCTAAGGGTGTACATGACAAAGTACATACACAGATCAGAAGTACCTGCATAGCTAGAATACAGAGCAATCCAGCATAATCAACAAAGTAGGACATGGCTAAATAATAAGGCAAAGCAAGCTAGTTGTACCAGTAACAATATTAGTAAACCTATGTGGAAAAAAAAAGAAAAGAAAAAGAAAAATACAGCCAAATATAAGCACTAGTATATATGCAAAACAACACATCACTATAGCATGAACGTAACAACAAAATAAGAAGCAAATATACTCAAACATGCAGTAATTAATATGTCGGTAAGTTAATTAACATTTATCACACTCCTGCTATGTGTCAGGCACTGGGCTAAGCTCTAGGGGTAAAAAAGAAAAATCAAAAGGAGTACCTGCTTTTAAAAAGCGCACACTATAATGGGAGACCTAGCATGCAAACAAGTATGTACAAAATTGGAACACTAAGGCATTGTTGGTGGAGTTGTGAACTGATCCAACCATTCTGGAGAGCAATTTGGAACTATGACCAAAGGGCTATGAAACTGTGCATATCTTTTGATCCAGCAATACCACTACCAGGTCTGTATCCCAAAGAGATCATATAAAAGGGAAAAGGAGCCACATGTACAAAAATATTTAGAGCAGCTCTTTTTGTGGTGGCAAAGAATTGGAAATTGAGAGGATGCCCATCAATTGGGGAATGGCTGAACAAGTTGTGGTATATGAATGTAATGGAATACTATTGTGCTATGAGAAATGATGAGCAGGTGGACTTCAGAAAAACCTGGAAAGACTTATGTGAACTGATGCTGAGTGAAGTGAGCAGACCCAGGAGAACACTGTACACAGTAACAGCAACATTGTAGAATGACCAACTTTGACAGACTTAGCTCTTCTCAGCAATGCTGTGATCTAAGACAATTCTAAAAGATTCATGATAGAAAATGCTTTCCATAACCAGAGAAAGAATTATGGAGTCTGAATGCAGATAGAAGCATACTATTTTCCCTCTTTTTTTTCTTTTTCGCATAGATTTTCCTTTTTGTTCTGATTCTTCTTTCACAACATGAATAACATGGAAATATGTTTAATATGATTGTATATATATATATATATATAGCCTATAATCAGATCATATGCCACCTTGGGGAGGAAGGAAGGAGAGAGGGGAGAAAATTTAGAATTCAAAATCTTATAAAAGTGGATGTTGAAAACTAAAAACAAATAAATGAATAAATTGAAACACGTATGTATGTACAGGAGACATATGTAAATGTATATATGTGTGTATATATAATAAATTGGGGTAATCTCAGAGAGAAGGCATAAAGGTTTAGGACTTTAACTGAGACTTGAAAGGAAAGGAACAGGCATTTATTAAGTGCCTATTATGTACCAGTGTTAAGTGCTTTACAAATATTATGTCAATTGAACCTCACTTCAATTCTGGGAGGTAGGTAGGATTATTATCATTGTTTTACAGTTGAAGCACAGGTTAAATGACTTGCCTAGGGTTATATAGTCAGTAAGTATCAGAAGCTATTTTTTTGAATTTGGATCTTCATGTCTGTAGGAAGTCCAAGGACTTGAAAAAAGCTAGAGAAACTAGGAGGTGAGGATGAGGAGGAAGAGCTTTCTAGGCATGGGAGACAGTCAGTTAAAAAGCCCAGAGTCTAGAGATGGAGTGTCTTGTGTGAGGAACAGCAGAGAGGCCAGTGTCCCTGGATTATAGAGTATATGGAAAGCAGGAAGACATAAGAAGACTGGAAAGGTAGGAAGGGGTCAGGTTATGAATGACCTTGAAAGCCAACCAGGATTTATATTTGATCCTGGAGGTAACAGGGAATCACTGGAGTTTATTAAATGGGGAGATGTGGGATGATTTGGTCATACCTGTGTTTTAGCAAGATCAGTTTGACCCCTGAGTGGAGAATGAATTGTGGGAGAGACTTGTGGCAGGGAGACCAAACAGTAGGCTATTTTCAATAGTCCAGGTGTGAAGTGATGAGGGCCTGTACCAAAAGGGTGGCAGTGTCAAAGGAAAGAAGGGAAAGTATCTGAGAGATGTTACAAAGGTAGAATCGACAGAACTTGGATATTGGGAGTGAGAGAGAATGACTAGAGGATGAGAATTAGGTTGCCAGCCTAGGTGAGCAGGAGGATGGTGATGCCCCTGAAAATAAGAGTGAAGTTAGGAAAAGAAGAGAGTTTGGTGAGAAAGATGATGAGTTTAGTTTTGAATATGTTGAGGGTTTTTTGGTTTATTTGTTTGAGTACATAGGAAGCACTTAATAAATAAAAAAACCCACCTCTGTTTGCCTCAGTTTCCCCATCTGCAAAATGAAGATAATAATAGCACCTATCTCACAGGGTGGTGA